ATTTGGCGTTGGTGCGAATCCAAAAATATTTGGATTTTTGCATCATACATTCCGTCAGCTGAAAATTGTCATGCTGATAAAGCTTCTCGTGTCACGAATACGGAAACTGAGTGGGCTCTCAACAATGACATTTTTTTAAAAGTCATAGAAAACTTTGGCTTACCCGAAATCGATCTTTTCGCTTCCATGGAAAATCGTAAATGTCAAAGGTTTATCGCTTGGCAGATAGACCCAAAAGCCGAAACGGTTGACGCTTTCACTATAAGTTGGAGAAATTTAAAATTTTATGCATTCCCACCATTTTCTTTAATTTTAAGAACTTTGCAAAAAATTTTAAATGACAATGCATCTGGAATATTAGTTGTACCGTATTGGAAATCACAGCCGTGGTTTCCTCTTTTTGAGAAAATGATTGAAGGTGATCTGCTACTTTTTGGACCAGCGGATAATATTTTATTTTCTCCTTTCAGCGATCAGAAACATCCTCTGGCCTCGGTCCTTATCCTGGCTGTAGCCAGGTTATCAGGCAAGCGTTTCTAATACAAGGCATACCGAATAATGCGATAAACGTTATGGAAAAATCCATAAGTGACAACACATTAAAGCAGTATAATTCAACATATAAGCAGTGGTGGAGTTTTTGTGTAAACAAAAACATTTCACCTTTTGAAAAAAATAGTTCTCATATAATATCATTTTTTCAAAATGTTTTTGAAACAACAGAAAACATGTTTGGTACGTTTAACTCCCACCGCGCTGCTTTATCTTTAATAACTTCGCACGATTTAGGAGAGGATCCTCAAATTAAAAGGTTTATGAAGGGGATTTTTAGGCTTCGACCACCGAGACCAAAGTACGACTGTACATGGGATCCTCAAATTGTTTTGACTTATTTAGAAAAAACAGAGGCAGATTCTTTAAAATGTCTTTCCCATAAATTAATCACGTTACTTGCCTTAGGAACTGGCCATAGGATGCAAACTTTTTCTCTTATAACGCATTCAAATATTCAATTTACTAACGAAGGAGTCAAAATTTTTGTCCCTGATTTTATTAAGACATCCAGTGTCAATTCAGTGCAACCTTGCTTAGATTTACCTTTTTTTAACAATGCCAACTTATGTGTAGCCTCAACGCTTCAGAAATATTTAGAAGCTACACAAAATTTGCGACAAGGGTGTCTTAAGCTGTTTATCACGTATAAAAAGCCTTATAAACCTGCTACGAAGCAAACTCTAAGTAGATGGGTAAGGGAGACCTTACAGGCAGCGGGAGTCGACTCGTCAGTTTTCAAACCTCATTCGATTCGACACGCATCCACTTCAGCCGCATTAAGAAATGGACTCTCTCTGGACTCCATTAAAAAAGCAGCAGGTTGGAGTAAAAATTCCAACGCTTTTGCTCGGTTTTATAACCGTCCAATTAAAGATAAGAGTTTTCTGGCTTCGATTTTTGAGGCACAAAATAGTTAAATTCGGTGTCTTATAGTATAACTACTATACTTTTTTGTTACCTTAGTACCTATAAGTTTGTTTTGAGTTCTTTCGTAAGAGATAAGAATATTATATCTCTTTTTTATACTTACCTTTTTGCGGTTACCACTTACCTAATACGGGTAAATAAGAAGTAAATTTTGTTTAGTTGTTGAGAACAAAAGGTTTTTTTTCTTTTTACGCGCAGCGTATTTTTTATGTCCTGTTTTCGGTTTCTGCTTTAAACATCTACATAGTAAACAAATTATTGTAATATTGAGGACTGGACCTGAAATATAATTAATCGATCAAAAGAACTTACCTGAAGTTCGATCGTAATTATATGAAGGTCCAGTCCGAAAATATTACAACCCACCCACCCCCATCCATAATATACCGAAAAACAGGGTGGGATATCTTTAAATAACAGTGAGAAGCCGGGCGCGGAGCATCAAGGAGGCAGGATTATGATGAGGCAGGGCCGGGCTTATTTTCTTTAAACATTGTGCTCTAGAGTAGAAGAACCATATACTACATAGTAAACAAATTATTGTAATATTTTCGGACTGGACCTTCATATAATTACGATCGAACTTCAGGTAAGTTCTTTTGATCGATTAATTATAACAAACAATAATAAATGTACATTCTACATACAAAAAAATACATTACGTCTTAATCTTATTTTGAACTTTCTTTTGTTATGTGATCCACCAATCTTTTAAAAAGTTGTAAAAATTGATCCTGCCGATCAAGTTTTTCCTTATGCCTATCGTCATCAGAAGACCTCTTTCTCTTCTTGGGAGTTTCCGAAGTGGTGGATGTTGATGAAGAGGTATTAGCAACGCATTCCGTGTTAATTTTCACTCCGGAAACTGAGCATGTGGCAGGTGGATTTATCTCCGGTTTATTAAACAACACTGCATGTACCGCATCATAATATATCCATGTTCTAGTGTTATTTCCCGATTTCTCATTATGATTTTTTACGGCCTTATAAGTTTTTTTTAAATTCTTCCATTTCGTATCACACTGTGTTGCTGTATATTGAGTACTAGTCGTTCTTGATAATTCCGTTGCTATTTTCTGCCAAACATTTTTCTTCAAACGTGTTTCAAATTCGCTATAATACATCTCGATTACGTGTATTAAAAGGAACGTATTTTCCTGTGGCCATAGTTTATTTTCGTCTCCCTCGTGTGATTCTGTAAGCTAAGTATGATGCCCACTCATTAAATTTGGATGG